GTTGATTTCCTATCACAGAGCAGACGCTGAGCTGCATGCTGGGAATACAGTGGGGAGCACCCAGCCATCTTGGAGTTTACACCTGAGTGACCAAAGAAAACGTCCCTCCTGTTGTCCCCTTCAGCTGTCCTGGCTGTCAGCACATGCCCTGACCCTTTCAACCCTGTTACCAGACACTGCCCTGGGCTGAGGGTCGCTGGGCTTGCTACCACTACAACTGCCAGACCTTGACACAAATATTTCCACTAAGCCAACCCCTGAATCTCAGCCAGGGCCACAGGCCCAGAATCACAAAGAGGAGGCCCCATCTGAGAGGAGCCATGGTTTAGGCCAGTGATGGCGAACCTATGACACACGTGTCAGAGGTGACACGCAAACTCATTTTTTTTGGGTTGATTTTTCCTTGTTAAATGGCATTTAAATATATAAAATAAATATCAAAAATATAAGTCTTTGTTTTACTATGGTTGCAAATATCAAAAAATTTCTATATGTGACACGGCACCAGAGTTGAGTTAGGGTTTTACAAAATGCTGACACACTGAGCTCAAAAGGTTCGCCATCACTGGTTTAGGCCCACGAGAGCTTGAATGAGTCATCCTTTCCTTGGATGGGAGTGATTTTCACTTCATTTGATCACTCTCCCCTCCCCCAATAACCTATGTCTTAAAACAAGACTGTTATCAGCTCTGAGAGGACCCCACAGACTGCGGGAGCCCTGCGGTGGGGAAGGACCGGGAGTCTGCCTTGATTTTGCATGGGCTCCGCTGAGCACCCTGCGTGGGCTGGAAGGTACTAAATGATTGGGGAAGCCCAGCATGGAGGGCAGCAGGGTGACTTGAGTGAGTAGGGGACAGCCTTCTCTCTTGAAGCATTGGCTAAGGCTGTGGCTGAAGGTAGCCTACAACCACTGGACAAAGGTTTTATTTTTACTTCATTGATGACAAATAAATTTAAGACTTAAGATTTATGAGAATTATAAGCAAATGTGTTTGCAGATGTTAAAAGGAAAAATTCTGTTACTAATCAATCATTTAATTCATGTGACTTTGTATTATCTATCATAAAAAGTAGGTCCTCCTTTGTAGGAAATATAAAAAAGAAAGATTAAGAAGATAAAAATTATTCATAGTCCTATTACCAAGGGGTCATATTTTACAAATCATTATATTTTTTCAAAATAAGATTTCTAACCTGCAATTTTTTAAGCAAGTATATATCGAGAACATTCCCCCCCTAGTTTCATAGTTTTCTATGACTTCCTCTTTGGTAGTTCCATTGTATATTCTTTTTAAATTTTTATTGATTAAGGTATTACATATGTGTCCTTATCCCCCCATTGCTACCCCCCTCCCCCTGCTCATGTATATTCTTTTATATTTTTATTGGAAGTTGAAAGGTTGTTCCTGTTTATTTTCACTACAAAGAACAGTCTTGGTTTTAATTTAGAAAGACCCCTGGTTGCATAAACTGAGCTCTGGCCCCATGGAAGTTAGGGCTTTGAGCTGAGGAAGTGGCAGGTAGGGGAAGCCCAGTGGTCTGCCATTCATCACTCCGTTCTGCCCTCTAGTCTGACTAATGAGGTTCCCCTTTGGCAAAATGGTGACCCTAAGCCTCAGACCTTCCATAACCACGAAACTTCTCAAACTTCCAGGAACACTTGAGGAAAAGTTAGTGTTGACTGATGTGGAAGCAAAGTCTGGGGCCGCATGCGTGTGGGGGAGTGGTCTCCTTTGCTGCTTCAGGAATGGAATCCTGGCCTTTAAAACTTCCCTGTTCTTTCTCCATGCTCTCTCCCCTGAATCTCCATCACAACCTGACCGTCCAAAGCACTTGTTTGCCAGGCCTTAGTCTATTGGCAGAGAGGTGCTGTTTGCCTGTTAGTAGTCATGGCCATAGCCAGAACCACAGCTGGGTTCTCCTCCAAGGCAAGCATTGCTTTGTTCCAGCTGCAGGTAAAGCAATTCATCAAACTCTAGAATGTCAGAGCCATAAGGGACCACAAAAGTGATCTAGTCCCCCACCCCACCCCCTCCTGTTATAGAAGAATGGTGATTTGACCAATGTTATTGGGTTAACGGCAGAGCTGGAACCAGGGGCAGTGCCAGGGAGCACGTAGCCATAGGATTCATTACTGTGCCTTGGGGAATGGACTGCCTGGGTCAATCCTGTACCCAATACTTCTGCGCTGTGTGACCTTGGGCAACTTATTTAATATCTCTGAGTCTCAGTTTCTTTATCTGTAAAATGGAGATGGTGCTACAATACTGACATCATAGGGTGGCTGGAAATGAGACAACATGAATAGGATGTATATATAGTAGCTCCCCAGGAAATGTTAGCTAGGGTTATGACAACAGGGGCTGTTTTTGCAGTAGCACTGACTCCCCTGTCCAGGACACAGCCCTCTCCACCCGATGCTTGGGTTGCAACCATAACCATTACCATCAGCTGACAGAACTTACTATTCTTCCAGTGGAGGCTCCTCTAAGTAAGGTTGTGTTTGGGATGCCCTCAAATTAACCTGCTTGCTCCCACTGCACCTTTTGCTAGCAACCAACCCAGTGGCATTCGTGTGGAAAGAGTAGAGCCTGTCTGAGACAGAGATGAAACCACAGGGCACAAAAAGATTAACAATGTGGCACAACCAAAGCATCCTGATCAGAGCCCAGGGATGTACAAGACTCAGAGATAGACACATTAGCTCAGAAGGGCCCCTTTTCTTCTTAACAGACCCCTTAGTGCAGCGGCTCTCAACCTGTGGGTCACGACCCCTTTGGGGGTCGAACGACCCTTTCACAGGGGTCACCTAAGACCAGCGGAAAACACATATATAATTACATATTGTTTTTGTGATTAATCACTATGCTTTAATTATGTTCAATTTGTAACAATGAAAATACATCCTGCCTATCAGATATTTACATTACGATTCATAACAGTAGCAAAATTACAGTTATGAAGTAGCAACGAAAATAATTTTATGGTTGGGGGTCACCACAACATGAGGAACTGTATTAAAGGGTCGCGGCATTAGGAAGATTGAGAACCACTGCCTTAGTGTGTATACAGCCATTCCACCGAATTTCTTTTCCCTTACATGTTTAACTTAAAATTTTTCTTGGAATTAAAAACATTTAGGATTTTTAAAAACATGGATTTAATATCTTAAGGCATATCTATCCATTTGGCATCTATCAATTGATATCAATTTACCTATCATCTATTTTTTAAGCAAACCAGCTTTGGTTAATTTCTGTTTTCAGGCCCATTTTGTGGTTCACTTGTGATGCCAGTGCCTGCATCCCAGCCACACCCACTTAAGGACAACCACAACAATAAAAACCTGGGAGGAGGCGAGGATGTTCAGACACTGAGAATCAGAATCACAAATTCTCGAAATGGGGGCAGGGGGGAAACCAAAAACTCCTTTCTTTCAGACAGATTCTGTCAAGTCTTCTTCTTCTTTTATAGGATTTGGGAAATATTTTTGATTATCTGAGGAAGATTTATTATTTTTTTATCTGAAGAAGCCTTTAAAAGTGTAGACTGGCTTAGCATCTCAGACCCCTCCAGGAGCTGTGTGGAGCGGAGTGTGGGTTGTGTTCGAGGCCCCTGCATGCACACAGCCACTGTGGCTGAGAGAGATGTTGGCCAAACTGAAATCACCCACTGGGTCCTGTTTCCTTTCCTTCTCCTCATTCTCTCCCTCCTCTCTCTCCTCCTGCTTTAATGAAATCAACTTATATTCAATGACCAAAATGAAAAACGACCAAACTTGCCTTTTCCCACACAAAACAAAACAATAAAATTAGATAATTAAATGAACTAAATAGTGAATTTACTTCTTGCTCAATAAATACAATGCTTTGACTTCAAAAAAATTTAATTTTTTTTCCTATGGTCATCATTTGTGGAGAGAGATTTCTTATTCTTTCTCATGCGACGCTGCCTATAGATTCAGAAAAGCCTCATGTTGTGATTTTATTTTTTTTCACTCTCAGTACCTGCCCAAGTTGTGGCCTAAGCCTCAATTAGCCCCATGTGGTGTTCACTCCTGGCTAACTTTGCTTGTCGCTCACCCCCAGGAGGAAACCTCCGCGTGGCCACATGTTTGTTGGATGAATGTTTCTTCTTGTAGGAAATGCCTGGGAACAATAGTCCAGAATGGTTATTGAATGAAATGGGCAATGCTCCACTTTATTATAAAAAAAAAAAGGCGAAAAAGTCACTTTTCCAGGATAAGTTGGTTTGCTACAAGCAATACCATAGAGCGGGGGGACACATAGCAGCCCTTTTCCTATGTCAGGACTGTTCCAGCCCAGGCTGGCCCCGACCCTGCTCATGGTATGGAAACACTTCCGCTCTTACACACACACACCTGGAACCCAGGTCCAGGCGCTGTTTCAATGAGGTGACAAAGGTGTTGTATGCGGCTGTAGAGTTACTACGTCTGACTACAGGGTGTTACCTGTGTGTGCACACTCCTCTGCACGCACACATTCTCTCCCGAACAATGATGACATGAGAATATTTCCTTTTGTTTTATTTGTCTAGAGTCAAATATTTACTCCTCCCGCTCACCAGTATCTCGTAAGCCCGGCGCTAGCCCACACTGCTGCAGGGCTGGGACAAAGAGATGATGTTACAGTCTGGTTTCTATGGCAACAGAGGAGGGGTAATGAAAATCGAAATGTTGGAAACACCCCTTCTGACAATTGTGACATAATTCAGTTTATTACAAGGACGTAACTACCAGAGAAGCAGAAGTGTCATTACCTTGCAGCTCATGTCGGCAAAAAGCTACACTGCACATTTCTCTTAGTTGGGCTGCTGAGAGGAAGGAAACATGAAACACACACACACACACACACACACACACACACACACGCACGCATGCCTCGCGTTCTCTGCATGTAAAATGTGTGTGTTCTTTAAAAGCCAGCGGTTGGCTGGTTTTCCGGACATGATGTGGTTGAAGCTGTCATCGTAATGGAAATTCATTGCTGTAGCTATGGTAAATCGAGTTTCTGCCTGTGCTGAATGCATTAGTCTAATGAGATGTGTGCAGCCGGAGAGCAGGGCTGCTGGAGACTAACTGTGAGCTTCTAACACCCGGGTGGACGCTTAGCTTTTGCAGTACCCGGTTTGCATGTTCCGAAAGTCTTCTGCCTTCTGAGTCAACCTCCCCGGCCTGGTAAAGAACCTGACCAGGGCTCTGGTGAACCCGCTGTAGGTAAGGGAGACACACAGTCGGAGGGTGTGCCGTGGACACGGGGTTCTGCTCTTTCCGCCGTCAGCACGACGGGTTACCTGGCTCAGCTGGGCTGGGTGGCGTGCTCCCCCTCGGGCACCGCGTGAATGTTCTGCACTGAAACCACGGAGGGCAGCAGGTAACTTTAGTGCCTTCTCCTCAAAATACAGTGTTTGATTTCTCAATCCGATCTCGGGGGGAAGACGGAGCATAGAACCATACAGTTGATAAATTTAGGGTATATACATGTTCACTACTCTTTAACTCTGCATCTAAATATGTAGAAAGTTGTTTCCCCCCGAAATGTGAACTCAAATAAATGCTTAGCTATTTTTGAAATGATGACTTTTGCTTTGTTTTTGAATAAAAACATTTTCAGTTTGTCTTGGGATAAAAATATTTGCCTAATATTTAATGTTTAAAATCAGTGTGTTGTGAAGAGGCGAGAGTGGTGTTTTAAATTGAGTTTTATTTTTGTATACCAGATGGGATGTTTTACGGGTTTTGTGCTGGCGTTTCCTAATTTCCCAGGATAGAGGAGAATACTATTTGTTGCTAGTTGCTGGTGCTGGTTAGTTTTTTTGGGAAAAAGAAAACACGGGTGGCTATGGCTTGTCAGGAGCAGTTTTCCCAAATTCAAATACACAGAGTCACCTCTTTCCCAGGTGGGGACGCTGTGTGACTTGAACCCGATCCCACGTGTCCCTCCTGCTGGCACGAGTCTCCCTCCCAGGTTCCGGGCTGAGCAGGAGGGGACCGGGAGGAGGGCGAGGTGCCGGCTTCGTGGAAGTCACCGGACCGATATTTGAGGGACTGGTCAGAGCTCTCTCCGCTCCCTGTAACAGTCACCGAGGGGCGGCTCCTGGCTGGCTGTGTTCTGTGTTCAAGACCGTCAGTCGCGTTCTGAGAAGGTGGCTTGTTGGCTGGGCTCAGCCCCTGTGGCTTGGGAAAGGAATCCAGGTGCTTCCGAATGGAGATGTTGGTTGTCTACTCTATTTTCCTTCCTTTGCAAGCAGAGGGAGCATTTTTAAAGGGAGACATAGTTCTTTTCTTCCCCAAGACTCTTTCCTTTGTAAATAAAACAATATTTGGAGTGGAAGCATGAACAATAACTGTCAGGGAATCCACAGCGCGGTCAAGCGGAGCCCTGTGGTGGGTGTTGCGAGGAGAACCAGCCTAAGAAAATAAGGCGGGTGTTTGAGGAAGAGCTGGACGGAGATGACCTAGGAAAGCAGGAGTGGTCCCACAAACGCAAGTAAAAGGTTAGCATAGAACCGTCAGGGAAGCGTTCAGGTTGTTTCAAAATCGAGACTTTTTAAACATACTTGTGGCATCGTTTAAAAAACTGGAATGTGTTTTCTTTAGCTCTTTAGACTGTGTCTGTGGAGGGGCTCCGATATTTTGGCGAATTTACCCATCTGCTTGATTTGTGGAATTAGAAGAAAATGGCATATCCCACAAAAACGCCGTTCTTTGATGTTTAGCATGTTGACATTTCTTCCCTGCGCCACCAGAATGACTTTCCTTTTGCCGTCAAAAGTGAAAATCAATCAATAAATAAAAATGGGTGTGTGGTAAGGGGAAGGAAAACAACGAGAAAAACAGAGGAGCTTGCTTTCTGCCCCTTCGTGCCTTGTCTGCTTCTGGTGTGTTTCCAGGCGGCGAGCAGCAGGTGCAGTTTCACTTTCTGGTTCCTGGCGCCCGGGGCCCCCTCCAGCAGCAGGTCAGACCCGCAGACCCGCAGACCCGCAGACCCGCAGGCCCGCTGTGGCCAACGAGAAATGGCGACTTTTAAACATGTGAAACAGCACGTTCACTATAAAAATGAAGCGATGCCTCAAAGCGCGAGGGTAGGAAATGTTTAAACTTTTAAGTGATGTGAACATCAGACTGCATCTGCGCTCGCACAGAGTGGTGGCTTTTATTTGGTTAGTCTCCGTTTTGGATCTCAAATTCTTCAACACATTCAGGAACTACACGACTAAAGTTCCCTTAAATCCAAATGAGGGGTGCTCGGAGAGAAGCGACCTGTCCGGACATTCGGGGGGTTAGACGTTAGAGTGTTTTGCAAGTCCTTTTACAGTTTGCGTGCCGGTGGACACATCATACCTCTATATTCTTGCCTCTTAAGACCTGGGAGAGCCAGCACTGGGTGCGGGCAGAGGTGGGGCCGCAGCTGGGAAGTCGCTCCCTGGGGCCCTGGCAGAGCTCTGCGGGAGGAGCTCACCCCAGTCTGCACCCCTGGGAGCCTCAGCATCACACTGGCACCCAGGTGCACTCAGCGCAATCCACGCGTCCTGAGGAGAGCAGGAGGTGACACCGGCCCCGTGGGGCTGCCCCCAGTTCTGTCCCGTGCTGCTCCTCTTTCCCCTGCCTTCTGCTTTTGTTCAGGGATGCCGTGGGAAAGAAGGAGAAAAGACGAGGACAGACTCTCCCCATCTATTTATCAAAGAGCATAAAATTCAGCCCGGCATTTTGAAGAAGAGGTTTCTGAAAGCCGGGCCATTTGCCGTGAGCACACATTTCTTTATTTGCGGGGGCAAATTTGACTTGTCGAGGAATGAGTTTTGATTGAGTGCCTCCTTGGACATCTTCTTAATTCCGTGATTTCCCAAAAGGCTAGTGTGAGCTTTACCTGTTTTTATGATTTCTGTTGCCTTCAAGGGCAGACAGGTGAGGAGAAACCAGGGGATTAAAAACAGCCCCTGGGAGAAAACACAAATGGTACGGTGCATAAATAATGTAACAGAAGCCACTACTGTGTCTAGTAAATTACTCTAAATTTTAATTAATAAGTCACAAAACCCACACCATGAGCTTTAAAAATTACCCCTTTATCAATAAGGTGATAATGAACTTGCTCTGGAATTAGCCGTTCTCTCAGCCCCGGGCAGTGTGCAGCCTCGGAAGTTGTCTGGAAGGCTGCCAATTTTAAACAATCGGTCTTCGGGCAAACTTACTGGATTTTAATTCAAACATCTATTGTGACATTTTCCGACAAGGTTCAAAGACCATTGGGATCACCAGAGTCACGGTAGAATTTCCGAGATGTTAGGATTGCGTTTAAATCTGCTGCTTTCTCTTTCTTTATTTTCCTTTTCTACCCCTGCCCCCCCCCCCCAAACAAAACAAAACAACAAAACAAAACACAGCAACAACAAAGCTTTGCATTTGCAACAGCGCCTCGCTCTAGTCTGGGCTATAAATTTCTGCTAGGATCACTGCTGTGTCGCTGTGGTGAGTCCTGCGTTTTTTGATACACGTATACCAAGTTCCAGGGCTTTGGCTGCAAGCCCAGGAGGTCCTACGTGGTTTTTTTATTTTTATTTTTATTTTTTTTATTGTTGTTGCATTTGACTCAATTTTAGTTCTGGTCAAGGTTCATTCCGTAGCATTTCTGCAAACTCCCACCGCAGTTTGTCCGATGCCAAGATTGAGATGGAGACTTGAAGCAGAGGAGCTGCAGGGCAGAGGGGCCATATCAGACGCACTCAGGACTGTTTGAAATTCGGCTTGTTCTGACTCCACACCCTAATGTCCAGAGGGGTACAGGAGGATTGGGCACTTCGGAGCAGTCTGCTCTACAATGATCTCTCTCTCTCTCTCTCTCTTTCTCTCTCTCTCTCTCTCGCTCTCTCTGCCTGTCACTGGTGGGTGGCATTCAGGGGCAGCCTGATGAGGGGCACTGCTATTTGGCCACAGTGTGCCATGTCTGGAAGGCGAGTGGTGATGAGGTGCAGTCAATCTTCAGAAGTCAGAGCTCTCTCCCCTCCCTCTGGGTTTTCAGAGGGAGGGTAGGTTAGCCTTGGTGGCTCTTGCTTCTCTCAGCCAAGAGACCTGGCCAGGCTGGGGTGCTGGTGACAAGGCTGTGCTGGGTTAGCTGGCAGGTCTGACAGTCAAGAACATCCCTGCCTCAGGAGGGTGGGATGGAGAGGAGCAGCAAGCAGAACTTGCGTGTTCTGGAATCAATGAAAATGTGTCCATCAGGAGAGGCACTCTGCCACCATTGAAGAGATAAAGCACCTCCTGCTTCTCACAACTGTTACTCCGTGGACTACTGTTTTAGGACAGAAAGGAATTTATTCCCCTGTGACTGTTCTCGGTTGTACTAAGATGAGAAGTCGTTCCACGGAGCCTGTGGGACACCCTGGAGTCACAGGGATATACTCTGAGACCCACACTGTGAGCGTCCCCGGGGTTGCCACTGTCACTGTTGGACCAGTTGTGTTTTAGAGAATCTGGTGGCACAAAACCATTTAAACTCCTCACTCAAACTTCCACCAACGCAGACACGTTCTACCGACAGTTTTGTTTGTGGGGAGGCAGATGCGCATTTCTTTTTCGGCAGCTGCATTTATTGGTCAGATGGATGGAACTTAGTCCCGGAGTTGCTGTTCTTCAAAAGCGAAGGCCCTCTCCTGCAGCCAGCCGTGCCCTTCGAGGAAGGCGCCGGGCTGACCAGGAGTGGCCCTGCCTTCTTCGTAAGGATTATGACCCAGAAGCACAGGAGCGGCATTAGCCAATAGGAGGAAATGAACGGGCCAGGGAAACACAGTGTCAACGCTGTGCTTTGAAAGGTGGTGATGTCTGGTTAGCCCCATGATGTGACTCGGCTCTTGGGAGCTAAATATTTGTTAACAAAAGCCTTTGCCCTCTTTTTCTTTCTGTGCTGGTCATGACAGAGCAAAAGCCCCCATTCTTTCAAGACAAAACGTATGACTCCAAAGTAATCCTAAAGAAACATGCAGCCCTCGGTGAAGATGGGCACCAGACCTGGAACAAAAGCTGAGCTGGGCAGAGCAAAGAACTACCCTGGTTGGGTCCCAGTCCAACCTGTGAGAAGTGGCACTGAAAAAAGAGGTGTTGGGTTAAAGCTCAGAGGAGAGAGAGTGTGTTCCATCCCCCTTCCACAAGGGGACCTGGCCGTGGCCCCTTCCTATACCCTCTGCAGTCACAAAGGATTCAGTGAGAGCCAACTGTAG